AAGGAATTTCTTACTGGTGAAATAATCTTTGTCTTTTTCAGCTGTTTTAATACAACTTCATTAAATCCCTTCTGGACAGCCCGAGAAAGTGCTGATATCTCTAGGTTATTCTTGGTCTCATCTGTCAATATTAAACAAAAATAAATTTTAAATAACATTCATTTATTTTTAAGGAACTCTAGAGAGAACATTCTGCAAAGGGACATATAAATCCTAATTTTAATTATAAGTTAATTTTAAATGAGTTTCTTGAACAAAGAAAAACAAAATAATGTTAATAGTGAGGCCAGTTCCCACTTCTCATATAGAAGCAAGGAATAAGGCAATTTGAGCATCAAAATCAGTAATGATTGGTAAAAGATTAGACCCAGTGAAAAAATAAGAAACAAGTTCATACTTATATAATAGGTGAGAAAAGAAAATGAGTTCTTACAACAGAATGCCAGTTAGAGTAAGGAGGATACTGGAGTAGGAAAAATCACCATTTCACAGATGTCATTGTACTAACTGATTCAGGAATAATAAAACTACTATGGGGGAAAGCTTGAAGAACAAGAGGATGAACAGTTGTAAAGTACTGCCCTATGAATTTTTGTTTTTTTACGGTAACAATCATACACCTACAAAAAATTTCTAAGTATAAAACTTTTCTTTCCTGAGCTAGTATGTCACCAACCTTACGCCTTACCACCCTGAATACTTCAATGCAGAAATATACAACACTGATGCCACACCCTCCTCACAGCGTCACGGTGGCAGTTCGGGTTATTACCAGTCATTTCTATTTGTGCTATTCAGTTAAGGCTGTCTGTTCTACCTTAGTGCAATATGAAGTAACTGTCCCTTTTGAGTGAGTTTGTCATTTGAGAGCCTCTCCCTTTCCTCCTCCTGAGTGTTTAATCCTTCAACCTTTATGGGATGCAGAGGAAGATGGGTCCTGGGGTGCTCAAAGGAGCATGAGGAATGTGGCCCTGTGAGGCAGCCTGACTTGGGGTGAGAGTTAGAGTAGGTGGGGTTTAAAAGTGTTGGGACAGCAGAGTGATAGGACAACAATAGGGGAATTGAACATATAGAAGCATTAAGGATTAAAGAAGTTAGGTTTCTCAATATTGGAACAGGAAGTTGCAAGCAGAGAAAACTACAGAGTAAATCTTATGGTTTGGATAGAAACTGGATATATCACATATCAATGTGAACTTATGACCCTCCTTTTCCCTTTAATTCCTCTACCTTCTCTGTACTTCTCAGACATACACACAAACACAGAGACACACAATTGATATACATCTATACACATATTGGTAAATAAATGTGGAATAATCAGAGAATGAAAAAAATGCTTGTATGTAAATGTCATACAAACATATTCTAGTTCTATCCTGTTAATCACTAGGGAAGCAAAATTTTTAAAAGGCTTACTACCCAAAGCCATAAAATATATAGAAGAAAACACTCTGATGTACATCTTAGAAATATCTCTGAGGACTTACCCCAGAAACAAAGAAAATGAAAGGAACGATAAACATCTGGGACTACATCTAACTAAAAAGCTTCTGCACAGTGAAAGAGACACCTACAATATTGGGTGGGAATATTTGCACTCCATACAAGTGATAAAGGACTAGTATCAAAGATCTATAAAGGCTTGCATAATTCAACAACAACAAAAAACTCAATCAAAAAATGGGCAGAAGAGGGCCCTCCCTGGTGGCGCAGCGGGTTGGAGCACAGCACTGAGAATCTGAAGCCGCTTCCGCATGAGTTCGATTCCCGCCTGCCCCGGAGGAGACCACATGGCGTGGCAGACCTCTCCTGACCCGCCCGCTGCTCCCCTCAGCAGTGTGCTTCGTTGGTCTGCCTGTTCTGTTCCCCACTCTGTCTCTGGTGAGGCCTCTCGCCGCCCCTGAGCCTCTGGCCTGTACCCCAGTTCTGTATGCACAAATAAATAAATCTTTAAAAAAAAAAAAATGGGCAGAAGAACTAAAAAGACACTTCCCCAAAGAGGAAATGCAAATGGCCAACAAGCATATGAAAAAATGTTCAACATCATTTATATTCAGGCAAATGCAAATCTAAACCACAATGAGATACCACTTCACACCAGTGAGAATGGCACATATTAAAAAAACTAGCAACAACAAATGCTGGCAAGGATGCGGAGAAAAAGGAACTCTCCTACACTGCTGGTGGGAATATAAACTGGGCCAGTCACTATGGAAAGCTGTATGGAGATTTCTCAGATTACTAAAAAGGATCTACCACATGACCCAGTGATTCCACTGATAGGAATCGACCCAAAGTACACAAAAATATGAATTCAAAAGGAAACCTGCACTGCTATGTTTACTGCAGCACAAGGGAAACAACCTAAGTGTCAAAAACAGATGACTGATCAAGAAGATGTATATAAACACAATGGAATACTATTTAGCAATTAAAAAGGCAAGCTCATGCTATTTGCAGCAAAATGAATGAAGCCGGAAGGGATCATGCTAAATAAAGTAAGTCAGAAGGAGAAAGAATAACATCAGATGGTTTCACTTATAGGAGGAATAAAGGGAAACAAAAAAAAGTGTTAAGGACAAAAAGACAAAACTTGCAGGCAAATTATAGATCTGAGGAATACAGCTGGGGTAGGGAAGGAGAAGGATCCAAAAGGAGTGGAAAAGCACAAAAGACTATGGTGACAGCTCACAGGAGATATGGAAATGAGAGATTTACAGGGACTACACCTGAGGGGAAAAAACAAATACTGTCCAAAAGTGAATAACAATATAAGAAAATCAAAGAGTGGAAAAAATAAATTAATAAGAATGCTTCAGTTCTATTTCCTAATGCCCCAATTACATTAAAATGAACTGGGAGATTACAAAACTATAATCAAATATATTTTGAATATGTTAAGTTCAAATTTCCAAAGTAAAATACAAATTTTAGATGTCATATACATAAGTAATATATTGCCACTTTAATTAAGATATATATCACAATTCTGGTAAAACTTACTTGATATGGCTGAAGTTTTCAGATATCCATCCAGGCTGGGTAGAATGTCTTTATAATAGGACTGGATTACATCTTTGCAGATATAAACTGACCATTCTTCTAGGGCATTCAGACCTATTTCTGCCAACGGGGTATAGCTCAGACCCAGTTTAAAAGCCATCTAGATGTCAATACATACAAACAAGGTAAAATAAAATTTAAATTTAAATTTTTTTAAATTATAATACCAATTAATTGTAGTGTCTAATGAATAAACCTTACTGCTGTCCTAATGGCAAACACTGCTAGAGGAAAACTACCACACTGTCTATATAGCTGGTGTTACACTATGGAGTTTCAAAACATGGAAGATTTAAACTTCACATTCACCTGCAAGAGAAGTCTAGCGAAGCTAAGCCAGTTGTTCTCAGTCCCAACTAAGGAACAAAAGCAGAATTTGAACCAGGAATTTCTAATGGATTAGAATCTGCTATCACTGCTATAGCAAGACCACAGTATTTCATACTTTTCTAGGAAATGAACAATGCAAAAAGAAAGGAATTTACTTAAGATAATGCATCTACCTGTAAGGCAGGAATGTAGGCTTTAATATCAAGTTCAATGATGTCATATGGGAGGGTCAGAATAAAAGTCAAGCAGGAGGCCAAAAGTTCATCTTTGTATTGCTTCATTTTAATTGATACCTTAACAAAAAAGAAGAGAAAGACAGTGCTGGATTGTCAAAGAGAATGTCAACTAAAAAATACTAACCCTATCCTCAAATAGAAACAATGACTATGTAGCATTTATTTGAAATGGCCATGTTGTTTAAAAATTATGCGTTGATCTCCAGGAAAAGTTCATGCATTGAAGTCTTTAATTGCCATTGAATGAAAAAGATAAACAATCTATTAATTCTGAGTTGTCATTACTCATTAAATTATCTCCAGAAAACTCAAATAGACTTTTGAAACAATGATTTATTTACTAGTGTCTTTCCTAAATCTGAATTAAGCAAACCAATTTTTAAGTAACAATAGATGATTTACAACCACTAGGATTTTTTTTTCCACTACACTCATTCTTATTTTTTCTTTAAAGCATACTTTAATGAATTTAGAGGAAGATATATCTAATAAGCGTATTAACTAGTATGCAGAATAATGATCAAATTATCATATATATTGAAGTATCTGCAGTTATGACTGACACAGTTCTGATAAATAATGCTAATTACTTTTATATTGAAATCCACTGGCCAATGAAAAATGAAAGCTCCCTTTACTTTTTTTAGTAGAATTTATTTTTTTTAATTAAAAAATTTTTTTTCACCATTCTTCATTTTGTACAATGGATACTTTTTAATCTCAGTTGTATGAAATGGTGGTGGTAGTGGTGGACTTCCAATCACCATTTCACTCATGTGCTATTACCATAGTGCCTTGTGTTTTTCCCACCCCTGTTCTGATCCTCATTCTTAAATAGCTCTTGATAACACGGGACATAGGTCACTGGAAAATTACCTCTTTGCCAAATTTTGCAAGCAAAGCAAAGCAAGAATATTTTTCTGGGTCTTCAGAAGACTGCTTTTGACTCTGTGGACTAACTCCCTGTTGAGTAAAATAATAAGTCAATATAATGAGCAAGAATCAGATAATTATGTGCCCTAATCCAGAAGTTTTCAGCCATTCTTTCATTTTCTTTCTTTAAAGATTTATATATGCACACAAGAACCTGGGTACAGGCTAGAGGTACAGGGGATGAGAGGATTCACCAGAGACAGAATGGGGAGCAGAACAGGCAGACTCACAAAGTACACACTGCCAAGGGAGCAGCAAGAGAGACAGAAGTCTCTGTGCCATGTGGGTCACCTATGGCGCCATGGATCAAACTCACACCAAAGCAACAGAGACCAGCTTTGCAGTGCTGCACTTTAACCTGCTGCGACACCAGGGAGAGCCCCATTCTCCGTTTTCATTTTGCTAAGGTCTTAAGCATATTTAGAGAAATGGAAAATGAGTTCTAAAAAATTTTCAGTCAGAATTCTGTAAGAAACAGAGTGTAAGGTGGGAAGTACATGGATGGTCTTAAGCTGCAGGCCTGGAAAAATCCAATCCCCATTCCCTGTCTTCCAATAAATACCTCTGTGAGCTCAGAGACCCGCTCCCCTGTAGTTAGCCAGTTAGGTTGCTCATGTCTGATTGAAACCTTAGTTACAATAGCTTAGCTATTTTCAAACGTAACTAGTTACCAGATGACATGGTTAAATTTGTTAACACATACTGCTATGTCTTGTCCTCAATTTATGATTAGAAAATCTAGAGAGAACATAAGACTTCCAAGTAATGCTTGGGAAAAGTGATTCTCTAATCACACTTTGAGAACTTCTAGCAATTTATCATAATTAGTTAGGTACTTGAAATAAGAACAAAAAAATGCTAGTAGTTAACATTCTTAAGAACATCATCCAATTCAGTTTTAAATATCAGTTTTAAAATACAGGTAACAAAATTAGATTGTAAATAGCAAATTATTATTACCTTATACCCATGATACATATATACATGTTTATGCAACCTTAAAAAAAGGTGTCCTCTAAGAAACACTTACCTTAAAGTATTTTACTTTCTTTGCATTTCTTACAGCAACAGAAAGCAATTTGTAGAAACCACTGATGAGTGGCAACCGTGTAGCCTGTAAAATTATATCATATGTAAATGAGTAAACCCATGGTTCAAAAAATTCTACATGTTTTTCAGGAAGAATCTCTCTGTAAAAAAAACAAAGTAAAACTTTAGAGGAGAAACCTGTATGGTATTCATATTCTATCTATAACAAGTCCAATACTTTATAACATTTTTAGGTACATTTATATTCCTTTTTTTCCCTTACCTGAGAAATTTTCATTCATTTAAATTAACTAATTAGCATTATTATTCTTATGTTAAGGAAGTACATCTCTGTTAATTTTTGAAACCACAGGATTTCTCCCCTCAGATGTGATCACTATATCCCTCCTATCACAAATGCACCAATAATCCTCCACATAGTCCATTGCAATCTTCCTTCTCCTTTCTTGCCCAACCTCCTCACCTCCTGGAGGCCCCTGAGAAACCATTAAGTAGTAAAATATACTAACTCTAAGTAGGTACATTTAGATATATTTTAAAGGTTCCCATAAGTAATTTGAGACTTCATATCATTTTCCATTTCGTTTCTTATATCTACAGATACAAAATAATTAGAATTTTTTAAAATACCTGCAAAATTCCACCAGGTTAATGAAAGCTGAGAAATCTTTAGGTTTAGCAGGATGCAAGTTAGCAGCTGGATCTGAAGTTGGGATCACCCAAACACCAGTAGCTTCATTTTCACCCTTAAAAATTAATTGTGCCCAAGGGGATTACAACTGAGATGGAAAAATGCACAAAATAATGTAAAAATAAACTATTATATTATTTTAAAAAAAGAAAGAAAAATTAATTGTGCTAAAACAAACATTGTACTATTCAATCATACGTTCACTCTACAAAAAACTGACCAACTGACTTCATGGCCAAGGTCTGATGATGTGAGAAAGGAATGCAAAAGTGAAAAAAGTACAGATGAAATCTCAGGTAACAGTGACAAAAATGATGAATTTCACACACAAAAAAATATTAAAAGAATACATGGGAAGTGATAACATGAATTGAAAAAAAATTTACAAATATAAAAATATCATTTCTTGAAGGAGCTAGCAGTGATGCAGTAATATAAGCAGAATTTCATAACAGAATCAATAAACACTTAAAGATTTCAAACTTAGAAACAGAGGAATAATTAACAGCAACAGGAAGGAACTATTAAGTTTGTGTTATCAAATTGAGGAAGAAATGTTAAATATACTGTTGGAAACATGGATCTGGAAGCTACAAAGGAGGGTAAGGTTGAAGACTACAGTTATTTGGGAAACACTGCCTATTGGAATGAAAGCAAGAAAGGCAGGACTTGGAAGAGAGCATAAAACAAGGAGGAAGGAACGGTAAAGGGAGACACTGAGGTTAAAAAAATAAAAACAGTATGTTCTGAAAAGTAGACTTGTTGACTGGTATTTCTAATAAGACCTTTCAGGCAAGTTTTTTAATGAAATTATTGTAGATACACACAAAGCAAAAAAGCAATGAAACACACATTAGTGTCCCTATCAACCAATACAGAGAAAATTACAAATACAGTAAAGTCAACATGACAAATGGCCCTTTACTGTTGTCTGATGCTTCCTACCATTCTCTCATCTAACTGTACAATATGCAGTTAAAGTACATATGCACTAACATTTACAAACATAAGGTAAACTAAAAAAATATTGCACTCAAAGAATCAATAAATAACTGGGGGAAAAAATAATGTGCTCAAAAGGAAGCTACTTCCAACTTATACTCAAGCCCTTTAACACTAGTCTCAGTACCATGGTATTATTTTTACTAACTCGTGCAGAGCAGCTGGCAGCCTTAAGCTATCATTTTTCGTAGGTCAGGAAAACCTGGTATGGAAATAGAGAGGGTGCCTTCTTCCTTTTCTTCCAAATCATTCATTACATCCTATCTCTAGAATACATTTAACTCCTTGCAGCTAGAGTTCAAAGTTTTCTTAGCTATAAACAAAACAAATATCAGATTTCTCTATCCTACTGCAAAAAAATCACTTTTGTACAAAATAAAGCCTGACTCTTTGTTATTGCAAAGAATAAGTAACTGACAGGCCTAGTGAACAATTTTTTCCAAAAACTTGTTTTAACATATTAAACATATAAACTACTTGAACACAGTAATAACATTCTCTATACATTAGGCTATTCAAACAGAAAAATACTAACAATACTTCATCTTGAAGAAACCAATTTCCTACAAGTCATTACACTGAATTAATGCATAAGTATAATTGACAAAAACTTCTAACCTCTTGTTGTCCAACACTCTGTTTTTCTAGTGTAAGATCCAATTTCTCAACAATCTTCAAAATAGATTTCACGAACTCATTGTACATCAAGTGTTTAAGATTTTGAAGGGAGGAACTCATAAAAAGAAATGTTTCATCTGCTAAAAGAGAATCCTTTAGATAAAGAAAAATAATAAGCTTCAGAATTTTGTATACAAATTTATCAATGCATATTAAATATGTACTAAAACATACAGAAATACATGCATATTTAGAAATTATGAAAACTGCTATGTAAGCTATCAGATTATCAGAAAGTTTTCAAGCTGCAAAACAGGCAATTTACTAAATTATTAAGACAGTATCATTTCAGTCAGATGGTACAATTTACCAGTCATGTAATAGTTACTAAGTAAAGTAGTGCTTGGGAGTATTTAGTTCAATCCTTATTACCTCACCCAATTAATTTGTGTAAGTGTGCATACATGCTATCTGTGTACATATATACACACATAAACATATACCCTCAAAATAAATTAAAAGTTATAGTTGACAATTTCTCTAAACTTAATACCACTTAACAAAAATATAGGCCAATTACTCTGCCTTTATTGAGACAAACATCCTGTGAAACAATCGCAAAACAGGGTTATCAGCTATAAAGAAGACATAATTAAATTAGTCCATGTAGTAAAATTACTAAAAACTTCTATGCTATTTTTACCTCAATAAGAAAACAATTCCTAAGATTTTTTCACAGGACAGAATTAACTATTGACAAAAACTGCTTGTCCTAGGCTATTACTTTGTCAAAGTCTAAATTAAAATGGTGCCCAGAATCAGCCAGAAACATCTAGTAGAAACATCTACAAAGAAACATCTAGTAGAAACATTTTAGGCAAGAGGTATTATTATAATCACAAATGATATCATAGCTGTGAACCAACATCCTTCATTCCTATTATATCAACTGCATTCATCTTCACCTTTAACAAACAAAAAGATGATATTTCTTATCTGTTAAATAATAAACAGTGGTAATACTGATATTACTGAAAGCCTGGATGTTCAAAAAGACTTTGCATCAACTATATTAAACTGCTTACAGCTAAAATGAGGACTCAATTACAGTAGTGAGTTAAATTTAAATGACTTCTATTATTTTGTACCTTTTAATTGATTTTTTCTTAGTCTCTAAGTTACAATTTCAATTTTTTACTATGCAAAGTATTTTTGAAAATTAGTAAATAACAATTCTGAAATAATCTTACTATAAAACTATAGAGACCAATTAAGAGGAACTAGGGTACTTTATTTAATTTTAAATTGTCATTTTTACCATCATCTGGTCACAGCTCAGGAGATTTCTAAAAAGATCCAAATAGTCTCTGTAGGTGGGCACTTTCCATTTGCCAGTTCTGACTTCCCCTGACACACGGTCATCTTCAGATTCAGCATCTTGGGAAGACTATATGTAAAATTTATTCATGGATTTACAAAATTATCACTCTTTGCCACACTTAGGCATTTCTAGAATTTTCTAACCTAAAGTTGCTAGGAGTCTATAATTTGATTGAAGAAGACAGTATATTATGAAAGAATAAAAGACAAATTTAAAAAATTTCTGATATTCTGTAACTGCAAATATTTCAAAACAACCTCCAAGAAATGTTATAAATTATTTATTTTATTAGCATATAGCAGTCAATCTCTCATCCCATGTCCTGTAACCTCTAGTAATTAAGATATGTTTCCTCTAATATACTATAAGTAAACTAGAGTTTCAAGGGACAAAACATTTCCTTTTTGTAAAATTATATATATAAAACAGTAATTTTACATTTAAGGATGAGTCAGAATTTAGAAGTAAATTTAAAAAAATTCAGAGGCACTGTGTCCTACACTTTGGAAAAAATAAGACAAGGCTAAGAATATTTCCTAAAATGATTACTTTTGCATATTTAGGCTAACTGCCCCAACAATACTGCTAATTTTCAACAACAGAAAAAAAAATAAAATTCAGGGCCACTCCCCTGTGGTGGTGCAACAGGTTAAAACACAGTACTATGAAGCTAGCTGTGCAGCTGCTTCACCAAGAGATCAATCCCTGTCCATATGACACAGCAGACCTCTAATGTCTTGCCCCTCTGCTCCCCTCAGCAGTGTACCTCATCAGTCTGCCTGCTCTGTTCCCCCATTTTGTCTCTGGTGAATCTCTCACTGCCCCTGCACCTCTGGCCTATACCCCAGTTCTGTATGCATAAATAAATAAAGCTTTTAAAAAAAATTCATAATTTACCTTTTGAAGGATCACTGGTTTAGAACATATTCTGATTAAACCCTGATGCACTAAAAATAAAGAAAATAAAGATGAAAATAAACATTGAAAAATATAAATACTCAAAACAGGACAAGTTTTTTTTTAAGAACCTTTACCTTTTAGGTTTTTTTCTTGAAATTTGTTAATCACTTTAGTTTTAAATTTTAAATTATTCACTAGTTTAAAAAAAAAGTAGTGCAAAGAAAGGATGAGAAAAAAAACTTGGAACATCAGTTACCATAAGCTCTTCAAATGACATTGAAAGAATTTGAAAATGGGACTTCTTGGAGACACTGGGGTTAAAGACAAGGCTATCAAGCTATTGTCAGTCACTGTAGCAAGAATTTGACTGCTGGCTGGCCAGGAAGCTGACCCACTTGGCACAGCAGAGCTCTTCTATCTCTCCTACTAATTTCCTCAGCAGTGTATTTCAGTACATCTGCCTGTTCTGCTCCCTACTCTGTCTCTGGTGAATCCTCTCACCCACTACATATCTGGCCTACACTCCAGTTCTTGTATGCATAAATAAACCTTTTGAAAGTAAAATAACTAGACATAAGACCTGAAACCATAAAATATATAGAAGAAAATATTGGCAAACACTACATGGCATATACCTTAGTTACATCTTTAAAGATACATCACCCAAAGCAAAGACAGTGAAGGAAAAGGCTTCAGCTGGGGCTACCTCAAATTAAAGAACTTTGTACAGCAAAAGAGATATTAACCAAACCAAAGAGACATGCCACTGATAGGTAGAAAATTTTTGCAGACAATACTAATGATAAAGTGGCTCAGGCCAGTTAACTCATGCTGTTTGACAAGGTCCAAGTATAGGGGGATGCGCATTCCTTTAAAGTCAGGGAGCCCCAAAGCTGCTGGATCCTTTTGTTTTGTTTTGTTTTGGACACTCCTGTAATTATAACAACTTTTTCATTCAAATGCATCAGACGAAGTCAAAAGTGATTTTACAATTGGCTGTTATAGTAAAGTCAATATGTGAAAGAGGCAGTATAAATAACATGTTATACAAATAATCGGAGCTCTCTTCCTGCCCAGAACCAATAACCCAAATCTCATCATTCCACTATCTTTCAGATGTAAACACTAAATTATGATGTGGAAAAAACTCTGGATAGCTTAAGGTTTTGTTGTTCAGTCTTTAATGAGGAACTCTACTCTCTTTCAGTGATAGATTTGTGAATAAACTTTTCCATTCATGCCCTCGGGCTTCACTTTGCTCTTTTCACATATGGGATGCTTTGATGAGAATGAGGACCATTAAATAGTAACTAGGGGTAAAGGGGGCTTCCTTTTAGCTAATCTTTCACTATGGTAAATATAGAAATGTTAGTCTTATGAATTTATATGCCTGTTTTAACATTACTAGACTGATTGTACAGCTGTAAAGAGTAACGACTGAAATGAGGACACCTTGTTTAACAACTGTGTTTTTTTTTTTTAAAGAATGATAAATATTACTATCTTGGCTGGAGGTCAACCCATCACTTGCTTGTAAAAGTATAATAAATTCCCCCTGAAACAGTCGGCAGGAGATACTTGCACCTGAAGGAGTGTTTATATCCCCTCATTCATCCCTTCACAGATGCTTTCATTTCTTGCAGGATCCCTGACACCCCAACTTCTGGAGCTGGCCTCCGGCAGTAAAGGACTGATCACAAAGCCCTACAAAAAGCTGATGAAACTCAAGAAAAACAAAGTGAACAGTTCCCTCAAAAATGTGGGAAGAGTTAAAAAGACACTTTTCCAAAGAGGAAATGCAAATAGTCAACAGGCATATGAAAAAATGTTCAACATTGCTCATTATCAGGGAAACGTAAATCTAAACCACAATGAGATATCATCTTACACCAGTTGAGAATGTTACATATTAAAAAAACTAGCAACAACAAATGGTGCCAAGGATGTGGTGAAAAAGCAACACTTCTACACAGCTGATGAGAATACAAGCTGGTCCAACCACTATGGAAAGCTGTTGGGAGGGTTCTCAAACTGTTAAAAATGAGCTTCCATATGATCCAGCAATTCCACTGGTAGGTATCTACCCAAAGGACACAAAACAAAAGGACACCTGCACTCCTATTCATCACTCATCATAAAAATAGTAATTCTAGACTTACCCACAGTACTAATGCAATTCCAGAGCACTGGTCCTTTTTCAGCTAAAGCCAAGAAAACTTTCACTATGGCTTTACAACACACTGACTGCATTTTTGGACTATATTGTGGGAAACTGTCTATTTGTAACACCATGACATGTTCCAGAACTGGGGTATATACCTCTGGAACCTAGTGGAAATAGAGAACAAATTAAAGTTAAAGAAAGAAAGCACAGTAGTAATTAATTACAATTATCTAGTAAATACATGAAAAGTCAAACTTGTCATATAACCTATTATAAGCTTAATATTTAGTACTGTCAATATCTAAAAAAAAAAAAAAAAAAGCCCACAACTCAGAGTAAAACAGTCTGAACTATACTAAGGTACAATGCTAGCCCAAACAGCAACCTTCCTCTTTCAAAAAGAGTAGTCAATAATTTTTCCTGTTATGGATAACAAAGTTTCATGACAATTTTATTAACACAAAATACTATTAAAATTTAATCATAATGGTGATGTCCTGAAGGCATACTATGACTCCAGCAAATTATTTGAAGAACTGTGATTAAATACTGTGCTCAATTTAATTAAATGACCCTACTTACAGAATCAAGACAAAGCAGGACACTTGCAATGGACTGGAGGAAACTTGGCATCTGGTAAATATTGTCCTCAGCTGTGTCTGTTTGGGTGAGGTACAGCTGCTTGCAGCGCTGAATGAGCTCTACATACATCAGGTCAACATCTTTTGCATTTATAACCTTGCAAGGCTTTTAGAAGATAAAACAATAGTCTTGATCAATCTTATAATTGTAAAATAATGGTGTTTAACATGTTGTGCTAAACCATGTGTTTATGTTCCTAGATACTGATAAGTTTTTTTTTTTTTTAAAGATTTATTTATTTGTGCATACAGAACTGGGGTACAGGCCAGAGGCTCAGGGGCGGTGAGAGGCTTCACCAGAGACAGAGTGGGGAACAGAACAGGCAGATCAATGAAGTACACTCCTGAGGGGAGCAGCGGGCGGGTCAGGAGAGGTCTGCCACGCCATGTGGTCTCCTCCGGGGCAGGCGGGAATCGAACTCATGCGGAAGCGGCTTTAGATTCTCAGTGCTGTGCTTTAACCCGCTGCGCCACCAGGGAGGGCCCTGATAAGCTTTTTAATGGAAAAGAAATAGATATAAAATACAGTATATCTATTTTTGAGACTTTCAAAGACAATCTATAATTACATTACAAATATTTACTCATACACAAAATTTATCAACTGTCAAGTATATTCAAGCACCATTTAAGATAGCTGGTAGCAAAGTCAAGGAGACAGTCCCAGCCCGCACAGGTTAAGTTGCCAGGAGGATGAGACTAAGAACTAAATTCAATGTTGGAATGTTTTACGGTATTGAAACAAAAACAGAAACACAGACCAGTGGAAGAGCAAGCCAGATGCAAATCCACACCATATGGACAGTTTAACTTTGATAACTGCATTACAACCATTAATAGAAGAAAGAGAATCCTCGTAGACAAATGGTGTTGGGAAACTTGGACAAGCAACATGAAGAAACATGTGGCTTAGCTCCATCATTAACGCCATACACAAAAATTATTTCAAGTTAAGCATTAATGTAAAAGACATAGACCTGAAATGACAAAATACATGAGAGAAAATATAGGTGACCCACTTCTGGACGTCAACCACATCTCCAACGGCAAAAGAAACAAAAGCAAAAATAAAGAAAAGGGACTGTATCAACTAAAAAAGAAAACCAACTTAGAAGAAACCATCATCAAAACAAAAAAGCAACCTACAGAAAAGGAAAAGTTATTTACACATCACACATCTGACAAAGGGCTAATTTCTAAAATATATGAAAAACTCTTACATAACTAAACAACAAAAGACAACATCCCAATCAAAAAATGGACAAAAAAGACATTTCTCCAAAGACAAACCAGATGACCTAAAGGCATGTGAAAAAAATGTTCAACATAATTTATTATGATGAAAATGCAAACCAAAACTACCAGCTCACTTGTGAGAATGGACCATATCCAAAACAAAACAAACAAAAAAAAAACCAGAAGAACAAATGTTGGAGAGGATACAGAGGAAAAGGAACATGTATCCATTGTTAATGGGAATGTAATTTTGTGAAGTTTTTTTGGAAATATGGAGAATCCTCAAAAAACAAAAATGAAAATACTGATGATACCACTGCTAGGTGTTTACACAAAGAATATGAAGACATTTCACATTCCTATGTTCATAATAGCCAAGATATTGATCCACATTGAATGTCCATCAACAGATGACTATATAAACACACTGGAGGGCCCTCCCTGCTAGTGCAGTGGGTTAAAGCATAGCACTAAGAAGCTAAAGCCACTTCAACATGAGTTCGATTCCCAACACGGAGGTGATCTACATGGTGATCTACATGGAACAGAAGACCTCTCCTGACCCGCCCGCTGCTCCCCTCAGCAGTGTACTTTGACAGTCGGCCTGTTCTGCTCCCCACTCTGTCTCTGGTGAATCCTCTCACTGTTCCTGCACCTCTGGCCTATACCCCAGTTCTGTATGCATAAATAAATAAATCTTTAAAAAAAACACTGGAATATGGGCCCTCCCTGGTGGCTCAGTGAGTAAAGCACAGCACTAAGAAGCTAAAGCCACTTCAGCATGAATTCGATTCCAACCACAAAGGTGATCCACATGGCGTGGCAGACCTCATCTAGCCTATCCACTGCTCCCCTTAGTACTGTACTTCCTCAGTTGGCCTTTCTGCTCCCCATTCTTTGTCTGGTGAACCCTCTCACCACCCCTGCACCTCTGGCCTGTACCCCAGTTCTGTACGCATAAATAAATAAATCTTTAAAAAAAAAAACTGGAATATAAACTCAATGTAATATTATTCACCTAATTAAGAAGAGGAGATATTGCCTCTTGGGGCAAAATGGGTGGATCTTAATATGTTTATTCTAAGTTAAATAAGTCAAAAAATGAAACACAGTTATTACATGGTCTCACTCATTTGCGGAGTGGTATAAATAACCAAAGAAGACAAACTGGCAAAAACAAGAATAATTCTTAGACACTATGAATAATATATTGGTAACCAGAAGGAATTGGGAGAAAGAAGAAAAGGAAAAGAAGGTGACAGAGTTGTGGATCTTTGGTGGAGGGTAACGGAGGTTGTCTCATAGGGAGGTATGAAGTTATGCTATCAAAATTATAGTTATCTAAATCAGTGACAAATCAATAAAACTCAAAAAAAAGTTGGAATTCTCTACCACACTATGCTGTACACTTCACCCCAAGTCACCTTCACAGTGCTCTTACCTAGCTTCAGATTTATTTTAGAATCAAGATCCATTCCAGGGTTCTTTAGCACTTAACTTGTTTACCTTTTTAAAGACTTCCCTCTTCCCTGTCTACCAAGCTCTAGCTATGCTGTGAACATATCCACCTACAATGAACAAAATGAAGTTCTTAGATCTTAGCAAATGAAAATGAAAAATTGATGCTCTTTTTACCACTGTGACCTTACCCATACACCATTTCTTCTACCACAGACAAATGGAGGTAAGAGTTTAAAAAAATAATAATAAAAAGATGGGCCCTCCCTGGTGGCACAGCGGGTTAAAGCACAGTACGACAAGCTGGCTGCAGCCGCTTCGGTAAGAGTTCGATCCCCAGCTCTGGAGATGATCCACATGGTGAGACAGACCTCTCCTGACCCGTCCACTGCTCCTTCAACAGTGTACTTGGTTAATCTGCCAGTTCTGTTCCCCACTGTGTCTCTGGTGAATCCTTTCACCTACCCTGCACCTCTGATCTGTACCCCAGTTCTGTACGCATAAATAAATAAATCTTTAAAAAAATAAAATAAAGGGATGCAGGAATCATTTGGCAGCAAATTAATGAGTATTAGGGAAGTAATGAGTAGTAAAGGAAGGGATGGGAATAGGGGTTCTTATTCTTGACAAAGGGAACAGACATTGAAAGACAGGTTTGTAAAAAAAATAACAAGTAATTTTTCTGTGAAGCAAAAGATTTGCTATTGCTAAGAGAGAAATAATGATAGTCATTCTTAATATTCTCATAAGTACTTCTCTTTCTAAAACTTTCAGTAACATCAAGAACAAGTTTCACTTCAAAATTAAGGGACTGTTAATGCTGAAAAACACATAGTATTTCTAGCCATCAAACTTCAATTTACATCTCAGTTCTAACAATTATTATCATTGTGTATCATTCATTAATCTGGGTTTCAATTCCCTTATCTGTGAAGTGCAAGTTATGAGGACTTGATCTAATACATGCATAACAGATCAGGTGCTGAAAAGAGTAATAAAACAAATGTCAACAATACTGTCGTGTGATTATGCTATTCAAAATGCAATAAACTATATTGCTCTAAGCATTCAAATTAAAGTAAAAAGTAAATTACTGAGCCATACTTCTGCAAAGAGTCCATATCCACGAATAGCAATAGATAAATCCTTGCTGTTTGAATCCATGTTCCTGATGATTGTATAAAATTGCTCCATAAAATACTGCAGCTTCTTCTTATGTGTTTCTGCATCTTTTGCAACCATAAAAGAAACCTGCAATTGCATATTTACTTTTCAGAAATACTGAATAACAAAACAAAGGAATCTACACAAATATAAAACTGAACAACTGTTCAATTATATATTGTTAATATGCTACATAGTTTAATACAATTGCTTCCATTTGCTTGATCTCATTAAGTTCAGAAAAATTACACTATTAAGTAAGGCTATATGTATGAGATGTATTTTTCCCTATTCCCTGCATTAGCTAATATAGCTGTCCAAAAAGCTTTTCAAATTTTGGCACACACTGTGTCCAAGACAACAATGGACAGACTCTAGACAAATGATCAAAGCCAGAAAAAACTCACCAACCTAACAACACTAGCTCTGATTGCACACAAAGCCCCAACTTGGCTCCTTCTAGCCCCAACTCTGCTCCCATTTTTGAAGATATGGAATATTACAAATACTCATTTCCTTTTTCACATATACATCAGATATATGTGACTAAGTATAATGATGTTTATTCACTTCTTGGTTACAGGTCAGTTTCTCATTTCTCATGTATATAATACTCTAGTTTTTTATTGCATTACTTTCAATAACCATCATTTTAATGCATTTTTAATCCAATTACTTCCTATATATGGTAGCAAAATCCCAGAAATAACTGCCCAAAAACAGAGCATAGGTTAAAGCATTTTGAATCATTAATATTGTGACAAATACTATGTTGCCACTGAAAATGAATCCTGTAGGGGGTGCTCTCCAGTAGCGCAAAGGTTAAAGACCATGCTATCAAGCTGTCTCCAGAGTTCAATCCCCAGCTAGCCAGGGAGCTAACCCACAAGGTGCAGCAGATCTCTTTTGTCTCACCCGCTGGTATTTCAGTACATGGTATTTCAGTACATCTGCCTGCTCTGCTCCCACTCTGTCTTTGGTGAATCTTCTCACCCCCATCCTAAACCTTTGGCCTATACCCTAATTCCTGTATGCATAAATAAATAAATATTTTTTAAAAACTGATCATATAAGGGTCTCCCTGGTGGCGCAGAAGATAAAGACTCAGGGTTATCAAGCTATCATCAATATGAGTTCTATCCCCAGCCAGGGAGCTGACCCACATGGCACAATAGACCTTTGCTGTTTTGCCCACTGCTCCCCTGGGCCTTGGATTTCAGTAGATCTGCCTATTCTGTTTCCCATTCTGGTGAATGCTCTTAACTGCCATACCTCTGGCCTACACCCCAGTTCTTAGATGCATAAATGAATCTTTTCAAAAAAATTTTTTATTAATCTTTTTTAAAAAATTAATCTTTTTAGGGCCCTCCCTGGTGGTGCAACAGGATAGGATGCAGCACTGCAAGCTGGCCACAGCCGCTTCAGTGTGGGTTCTATCCCCGGCCCCGGAGGTGATCCACATGGCGTAACGGACCTCTCCTGGCCCACCCGCTACTCTTCTCAGCAGTGTATTTCAGTGATCTGCCTATTCTGCTCCCCACTGTCTCTGGTGAAGCCTCTCACCGTCCCTGAGCCTATGACTTGTACCCAGTTCTATATGAATAATCTTTTTTAAAAAAATAACCTTTTTTTAAATTAATTAAAAATTAAAAATTAATCTTTTTTTTATTTTAATTCTTTGTTAATTTTTTACAAAAACATATATATAATTATGTTATGAGGAAAATATATCCAGCCAAGGTGAAGTCTTTGGCTACAATTAGATAGCACTCCTTCCACTCCTTCATGTCAAGGTCTCTCCTTCTCTTTCCCAATTCTTCCCCTCTGGGAAAAAACAAAAAGGGGAGAAGAGGAAGGAAAGGATAGAAAAAGGAGCGAGGAGAAAAATCTAAAACATCATCACCAAAATGGTAAAGTTTTTCTTAGTGGTAAGATTTAAAAAAACCTTAACAGTCATCTCTGTACATGTCTATATTTTTTTAATCAACTGCATCAAACTTGCAGTGTATTAAGAAAAATGTAAAATATCTTTCCTATGGTAGTAAAGTTTAAATTTTAAAACTCATATCCAATTGGAAAACATGTAAAAAGCTGGAGGATATCACTATCTAAATATAAGATTTAATGTAAAGCTACAGTCAGTGAGCTATACTGATAAAAGGACATGTATGGAACAAAACAGTGATCACAAGTAACATGCACATATACATGATCAACTGACTTCTGAAAAAGGTACCAGTGTAAGTCAACAAAAAAATTAGGGGCTTAGGGGAAGATAACTTCAAGTGCTACTTTACACCATACATAAAAACTAATTCATTAAAAATGGATTGTAGACCTAAGTATAAATGCTAAAACTAAAAAAACTTCTTGAATAAAACAGAAGAAAATCTCTGCAATTATGAGACAGGCAGAGATTTCCTGAGATAGAAATCTGTCTCAAAAAGCCCATGAAAAAGAAGCAAACCAGACTTTGTCACTTTAAAATTTAAGTTTTTGAATGGGTTTGGAAGTGCACTGGACTATGGTTATGGCACACAGGTGATTTGGTGATGGGAAGCCCACAGGGATTACAATTGAGATGGAAAAAGGCACAAAAAGATACATAATAAACTATTAAAAAAAAAAAAAAGAACTGTCACCCAAATTATGTAGACAACTCTACAACTCATTTATACAAGGGAGATCTTTTCTGATGAAGATTTCACAAAGTAAGATATAAGGCTGATATAATGATTGAGGAAAAAAGATTATCATTAAAAGTCACCATGGAAATTCCAATTAAACCCAAAGTAAGATAAACTATGCACCCATTAAAAGGCCTAAATTAAAAACAACAGCAATACCAGGTATTGATGAGAATATAGGGTTACTGAAACTCTGGTGACCTGCATGAGAATGTGAATTGGTGCAAGCAGGTTAGAAAAAAGCTTAGTAGCTTCTTATAAAGTTTAATAAATAAGTACTATGTGATGCAGCAATTCCACTTAGATGTTTTTTTCTCAAGAGAAATGAAAACGTATGCCCACAAAAATACCTGGTCACACAAAAGTCATTAAATCAGATGGAGAAAAAAACAATGTATGATTTCATTCATAGGTAGCAAAAAAAGAAACAAATGAGTAAATTTAAAACAAAAACAAACTTTAGACCAAATGAGTGATTCTCAGAGGGAAAGGAGAAGAGGGTAAAGGAGGAGAGAGACTGGGTAAAAGGGGCCAATTCTACAGTGAAGAATAGAACTGAACTCTTAGCAGTGACCTTAATGTAATATAGACAGATGCTAATTTATAATGATGTACAGCTGAAACTTACATATTGCATTGCATAGTTCAGCAAAAAAAAAAAAAAATTAATAAAACACTTGCTCACAAATATTTGGTTCTTAGTTATTTTGTTTATAGTTTTTTTTTTTAAGATTTTATTTATTTATGCAAACAGAAATGGGATACAGGCCAGAGGTACAGGGGCAGGGAGAGCATTCACCAGAAACAGTGTGGAGCAGAACAGGCAGATCTACAAAATACACTACTTTGAGGGGAGCAGCAGGAGAGACAGGAGAGGTCTGCTACACCATGTAAGTCACCTGCAGCAGGATGGGAACCGAACTCGCAATGGAGTGGCCATGACTTGGCTTCGCAGTGCAGTGCTCCAACCAGCTGCGCCACCACAAACAGGGAGGGCGCATTACCTATTTTGTTTAAAATAGCTCAAACGGCCCACCCTGGTAGCCCAATGGATAAAGCCACTTCAGCACGGGTTTGATCATGGCCTGGGAGGAGACCACATGGCGAGGCAGATCTTGCCTAACCAGCCACTGCTCCCTCAGAAGTGTGTTTCAGTACATCTGCCTGTTCTGCTCCCCACTGTCTCTGTCGAATCCTCTCATCTCCTGCACCTCTGGCCTGTACCTGTTTCTGTATGTATAAATAAACAATTTTTTTAAAAAAAGAATGTGCCTGACTCTCCATAGGCACATGATAAGTGTTACCTCTTAAAAAACAAAAGCTGGGTGTAATTTTCTGAAGTGATGGAAATGGAAATGTTTTTGTATGTTGACGGTGGTTCCATCACCACCTATGCTTTCTATGAGACATGCCCCATTCTTGGCTCTGAAACCGCAATTAGAACTGCTATTTTCTAAGCATTCTTTCAACCCTGCTACCACCAGTGTGATCAAGCTCTTTTCTTTAATTAAAGAAAGTAACAGGTTAATTTGTACTTACTTCTCAAATGTGCTTTCACATTTTGTGCAGAAAAAACACGTTTAAAAGTTAAATTTGCCGTACCTGTTTCAGAAAAGATTCCAGGGCTGAAAGTGCAGTTCTTTTCAATTCCATGTTTGTATGGCTACACCATTTTGACATTACTTCAAATAAAGAAACGTAGTGGTCCAGGAGACAGGTGCTAAATTGAGATGCATGCAGGGTAAGTAAGCGTAAGCCAGCTGCAAATGCAAAAACAACCGTGTTTAATTTAAATTAGCACAGCAAAAAGTGGAAAAAAGAACTGATAAAGCTTTAGTGTCATTACAGCTAACAACAAAGGCTTTAATGTCATCATTGACCACCTGAATCAACAGCACTGAAACAATCCTTGAGCAAAGTATCAACAACAATGGCCCATGATTTGGCCAATAACTCCTAAAAAAAGTTCAGAAGAAGGATCAGGTTTATTTAAAGTCAGAATCAATCTGGATCCCATGAAAAATGCTTTAATTTTTTAAAATCATGTAATCTAAGTGTGACCACCTCAACTGGAGTTTCTGCACTAAAACGTCTTCAAAAGCCTCCCTGTTAATAATTAAGTATGAAACATCACATATGTTATATTTACTTTATAGTTTAAGAAAAAGTTTACTCAAGACATTAAATAAAGATTCTCACCTAAGGGTACTGCATATCTCTTCAGATCAATCTACAGGGGAAAAAAATTATCATCAATATGTGACAATCATTAAGCTTAAATAAAAAACAATTATAATAGTAATAATTCTACCTGAGGACGAATTGCCTTTAATGCAAAATCAAAAATCTCCCTTGACATCTGGGCATCTGGGAAAAAGAAAAAGAAGCCTCTGCTCTAAATCATAATATAACCTAAATCATAAATCATTAACATTTAACAAACTTCACAGCAAACTTCACAACTAATATCTCCATTTTAGACACTGTGACATCTAAATTAACCCCAATAGTCTCTTGGGAATGTAGAAGTAATAGCTCCCAAGACCTGTTTGAACTAGAGAGTTGCAAATTATTACTATTGCACAGTTATCGGTTTGTTTTTTTTTAAAGATTGATTAATTTATACATCAAGTTAAAGAGCTTCAAATTAATTTATACAGCAAAAGAGACATTACAAAAGACAGACATCCCACTGATTGGGAAAAATTTTCTCACACAAAACTAGCGATAAAGGATTGATCACAAAGATATATATAGAACTGATGAAACTCAACAAAAATAAACAACCCCATCAAAAAATGGGCAGAAGAGTTACAAAAACACTTCTCCAAAGAGGAAATGCAGATGGTCAACAAGCAGATGAAAAAATGTTCAACATCACTTATAGTAAGGGAGATGCAAATTAAAACCACAATGAGATACCACCTCACACCACTGAGAATGGCACATCTTCAAACAACTAACAACAACAAATGTTGGTGAGGATGTAGAGAAAAGGGAACTCTCCTGCACTGCTGGTGGGAATGCAAACTCGTACAACCACTATGGAAAACTGTGTGGAGGTTCCTCAAACTGCTAAAAATGGAGCTTCCCTACGACCCAGCAATCCCACTCCTAGGTATCTATCCAAAAGATACAAAAACACTGATTCAAAAAGATACCTGTACCCCCATGTTTACTGCTGCTTTATTCACAATTGGAAAGACATGGAAACAGCCCAAATGCCCAAAAGTGGATGACTGGATTAAAAAGATGTGATACATATACACCATGGAATATTACTCAGCACCTTTTACAGCAACATGGATGGAGCTGGAGAAGATCATGCTTAGTGAAATAAGCCAGAAAGAAAAGGAAAAATACCGGATGGTTTCACTCATAGCAGGAGTATAACAGGCCAGGCAAGAAAATAATATAATGAACAGTTATATACCAGACATTTTATGGGGATAGAGTGGGGAATAGGATCAAAAACAGTGGGGGGAGGGAAATGCACTGGACTATTGTGATGGCACAGGAGTGATTTGGTGATGGGAAGCCCACGGGGATTACAACTGAGATGAAAAAATGCATAAAATGATGTAAAAATAAACTATTATATTATTAATAAAGATGTATTTATTTATGCATACAGAACCAGGGTACAGGCCAGAGGTGCAGGGGTGTTGACAGAGACAGATTGGGGAGCAGAACAGGCTAGCTGACGAAGTACACTGCTGTGGGGAGCAGTGGTCGGGTCTGCCACGCCATGTGGGTCACCTCCAGGGCAGGGGATTGAACTAATGCTGAAGTGGCTCTCGCTTCTTAGTGCTGTATTTTAACCTGCTGTGTCACCAGGGAGAGCCCTGCCATGATTCTTACAGTAAAGTTGGAAGACACTCTAAAATAACAAAGACATGGGTTTAAATTCTAATGGATCACTTATAACATCTGTTAGATAATCTCTCTGAGCCCCATTTATGATTTGTAAAAAGACACAGTTTATACCTTTTTTAGGGTTGTTTGGAGGATTATGTAACTCAATACAAGCCAAATACATTATAGTTTTTCTAAATCTTCCAGGCATTCATCAAACCAAATTATTATGAGACCAAATTATTATGAGATCTACAAATGTGAATTATGACCCTCAACCTGAAGTATTAAATTAACAGATTTACTTAATAAGTAAACTTAATACTTCAGAGTAAAGATAAAAAGGTACACAACTATATAAAGTGAGTCTCTTATCCTGGTTTGCTTGAAGTCATAATTATTCATAGTGCATTCAAGTGGAGAGCAGAACAGGCCAATTGATGAAGTAAACTGCTGAGGGGAGCAGCGGATGAGTCAGAAGAGGTCTGCCACACCATGTGGGTCACCTCCCTGGCCAAGGATGTAATTCGTGCTGAAGTGGCTTTAGCTTTGTAGCACTACGCTTTAACCCACTACATCACCAGGGAGGGCCCCTGTAGTGCTATCTTTCACCAGATTATTCACTGTAGGTGTATAGAAATCATGCTGAATATATTTATTCACAGAATTCTCTGCCCTGGTAACAATGACTTGCAAACATGACAGAAGCAAGAGAAGGAATTAGAAGCTGCTTAAGTTGAGAGGAACATTAAAATAACAAGACAAGCTATTCAAATTACACAAAAGGAGAGATTTCTGGCTGTGATTACTGAAGGCAGCTCCTGTACTCAAGGCAGCACTTGAACTGTACCTGAAGTGGTAGAGTATAAAAGTGTGCAGACACAATGGCACCAGGCACTTGTCACAGCAGCTGGTCTAAAACAAATGCACTCAATACATTAGCAAGGCCTAGGGATGAAAGGTCCTGAGTTCAGAAGTATGAATGGATACCATCCTGGCCTTTATGAATTTTGCCTCCCATTTTGGCCCTCTTAAATCAATTTGCCTATTCTTGCTTTCTCTTAAGTAGACTATAAATTATTTGAACTTTTTCTCTTTTTTAAAAAATTTATATTTATTTATTTATGCATATAAGAACTGGGGTGCAGGCCAGAGATTCAGGGGTGAGAATATTTGCCAGAGAAAGAGTAGAGGAGCAGAACAGGCTAGAGATTGAACTTGTGTTGCAGTGGTTAGCGATAGCTTGATATTGCTGAGACTTAAACACCTGAGCCACCAGGGGGCCCTATCTGTGCTTCTTTAGCTGGCTTTTCTCATTTAGCATGATGTGTGTAAGATTCATCCACGTGGTAGCATGTAACAGTATTCCCCTTCCTTTACTAAAGCTTTTGAATAAGATCCCACATTTTTTTACATATATATATACATACATATATACACATTTATATATATATACACACACACATATGTATGTGTATATACATATATATATAACTCAATAATATATATATTACATATATTTATACACATATAAAACATTTTGTTCACTCATTCAACTGCTGATGGACACCTGGGTAATTTCTACCTTTTAGCTATTGTGAAATATGCCTAAGATCACATGGATACAACTCTTGTGCATTTTAAATCCTCTCTAGAGATCTTTTCTGCAAATGATCTTTTCTTCCCTTCCATTCACTTTGTCTTCACCCAAAAAACCCTTAAATTACTCTGTCTGCTTCCTCTCAGATAGCAGATTGGAGCTGCCTGGTTGTGCCAGATCCACTCTGCACTAGTCTTTCTGCAGTCAGACTCCCCCAGAGCCAGGCTGTGCCACATTCCTACACCAGACCCTACTTGCATTCTAGTCCTAGTCACTCGTACTCATACTCAAAATTTTGCCTATTATCTACAGACGAAAGACTTTGAAGTTTTTTTTTTTTTTTTTAAACTTAACTTTCTTACATCATTGTTTATTTTTACACAATATTTGACTTCTTCGCTCAGGTTTAGTTCCCATAAATCTTCTATCACCACACCCCCTGTGAACCATCACCATAGTTCCTTTTGTTCTTCCCTCCTCTCTTTTGACCCACCTCTCCCTCTTGCTCTTCTCTGCTGTTCAAATACGTATCTTTAAGGTCTATTTGCTCCTGCAAGATGCAGTTTTACTATGCACCTACATATTTGATACTTGAAGCATGATGTTCCATAGTATATCCAGTTAAACATGTCAAAAACAAAAATCCAGATTTCTGTCTGAAACCCATCCTCTACCCACCAACCCAACTTAATGATGAGTGTCAGACTGTGGTTGCTCACTGTCAGATCAAGAACTAAGTTTCTCAATCCTTCAGGAAAACATCTCATATCCTATAGCAGTCAAATGAATCTTTCCAAAACATCAACTGGCTCAATCCCTTTATTATTGAAAAATCATGGCTCTCCATTCCACTTGGTTATAACATGGACAAAACCTGAAGACATTATGCTAAGTGAAATAAACCAGTCACAAAAATTTTATATACTTTTGAGCTTGTGTGTTTATGTAGCATTCTTAAAATGACAAAACTAAGAGTTGGAGAGAGATCAATAGTGGTTGCAAGAGGGAAGGGGAGAAAAAGAGGTGATTGTGGCTATAAAAAGGTAGCAGGATATAACCCTGTGTTAATAGAATATTCAGTATCCTGACTGGTGATGTACAGACAAATTTGCACAGGTGATAGAACTGCACAGAACTAAATACACACATACAAACATGAATCTGAAATAGGTCATTATTCTACTATACTTACAAAAGATACGCTCAATGGGGGTAACTAGGTGAAGACCACATAGTCAATACAATGTTTGACAACTGCACATATGCCCACAACTGATTTTAAAGTTCAAAAAAATAAAGTTTATTTCAGATTTATGTTTTTGAATAAAGAAAATGAAAATTAAAAAAAAAAGGAAAATCAAGTAAGGTCAAACAATACCTTCTTCCATGGTTTTTGTGAAATTACACATAAGTGAAGACAATCCCTTCAGACAGCCTGCAACAACGAGTAGTTTGGGCTCTCTTACTGTTGACGTCATCTAAAAGGCAAGTTTTAAGAAGGTATCAATAAAAGAGAAAAATACAATTAAATGCTTGGAAACAGGGTATCATAAAACATGTCATACCTGGGTCTTAAGTTCACCCAGAAAAGCCCGGAACAGATTTTCTGAATTATTTATCATCTCACTCGGATGAACTTCACCTAACACTCCTAGGAGTTCATATATTTTTTCTAAAACTGAAAAATAAATTTTAGACAAATGAAGGCCTCAAGTAACATTCATTTAAATAAATTAAATAAATAAGGAAAAAAATGAGACTTTAGTTCAAAAGTAATTTCATAATTAAAATACACCAGTTATCTAGTTTTAGCTACTGAAATCTTTTAAATTTTATGCAAATCTATTATTATAAACTAAACTACATTTGGCATATACTATGAGTTTTCTGTTTATAAATATCACTTTGTGGCCCTCCCTGGTGGCGCAGCGGGTTAAAGCACAGCACTGAGAGACTAAAGCCACTTCCGCATGAGTTCGATCCCCGCCTGCCCTAGAGGTGAGCACATGGCGTGGCAGACCTCTCCTGGCCCGCCCGCTGATCCCTTCAGCAGTGTACTTCATCGATCTGCCTGTTCTGCTCCCTGCTCTGTCTCTGGTGAATCCTCTCACCCTCCGCATCTCTGGCCTGTACCCCAGTTCTGTATGAATAAATAAATCTTAAAAAAAAAAAAATATCACTTTGTAAAGATTAAGATTTTTAGAAGCAGAAGTCTTCACATTATTTTCCATTTTGGCTTTGGCTTGTTCGGCAAAACATTGATCCATAAGACATACAAATATACCTTAGTAGGAAAAAACCTAAGTTTTACGCTAATAATTTTTAGTGTTACTTTGCTATAACATTTTAAAATAATATGTAGGTGCATCTTACCTGTATCTGGTATTTTTGTTTTCGATGCAAGTTCTCCATAGAATTTGCTGAATAATTCTCCAATTCTAAACTGATCCATGAGTCTAGAACTCCTCAAAGTTTGAAGTAACTAAAAGTATACAAATTAGCATTGTTTAAGAAGGAAAATAGTGAAAGGTTTGTATACAGTAAAGTTGCAGAATCATGTGTAAATCTAAGGGATTTATGCCTAGGCTCTCAGAATTCTTACCAGATTATCTGAGGGACAGAGGATGGGTAGTGAAAAAAGGGGGATTACAAGAGGAAAGAGTGTAGGCTGAATGTTACCTTCCCAAGTAACTAATAATATGACCAGAATCACTCTATGTCACTCAAGACAAGGACTAACAGGACCCAAAGCAATAGTAAGAAATGCAGGTAAAAGGAAAATATCTAATGCCATGACAGTGAATTCTGACAGTTTTTAATAGCCTTAAGTTTTAGAATAATGTGAGCAGCAAATTTTTAGTTATTTTTCTCCTTCATGCTCATAACCCCAAATTCTTCCTTTGTAACCCTGAAGGGTCTGAGAGAATAATAACCAGGTACTGGGTGATGGCTAGAAAATATATAGCTTATTCATAACCTCAATGTAATTCAGGTCTTCTAACATCTCTCACCCAAATCATGTCCCCCCCCCAAAAAAAAACTGTTAAATTTTTAAAGTTATCTATGTTTAATATAAAATATAAGGACTTACAAATACAAACTTACCTTAATAAGGAGCTCTAGAGCTGGAATTTTACATTTAGCAGCTTTCTCTTTTGTGTAAACACTGGTACAGGTATTCTAAGATTTAAAAGAAGACATACCCAAATATTACTAAGCTATAAAGAACAAAGACTCAACAACAGCTAAAATAATTTTCTCTCCCTCAGATAATCTGGTAGTTAATACAAGAGCAATACTGATATATGAGATAACAATTTAGTTATTGAATATACCAACATACGATGCACTATTTAGTTGCTAAAAGTACAATATTTGATTGTACAAATGTATAGATTTTTAATTACTGAAAACACTGAAACAATGTTAAGTATAATCATATCAATAAAAACTATCAAAGAACAAAATAAATGAAACTAGGTCACTAAAGAAATGAAGGGAAAATGGCTGACTCAATGGCTAACAAGTACTGTTTCTTACCATTGTAATGAGACAAGCAGAAGCTTAGGAGGAGGCAACTTGGCTCCAAGATAAGAATGGGTTTCTTAACTCATTTGTAAGCTTATGTTTAGAATACCTACCCCACCAACTTTCACTAAAAATTAAGACAAAAAAATGAAATAAGACAAGGGGCCTCCCTGATGGTACAGGTGTTAAAACTCTCAGCACTATCAAGCAATCGTCAGCTACTGCACTGCTACATGAGTTTGATTCCCAGCCAAAGAGCTAACCCACATAGTACTACAAACCTCTTCTGTCTCAATCCCTGCTCCTCTCAGCACTGTGTTTCAGTAGATCCACCTGTTCTGCTCCCCACTCTGTCTCTGGTGAATCCTATTACCCCCTCCCCCACACCTCTGATCTAAACCACAGCTCTTGTATGCATTAATAAATAAAAATAAATCTTAAAAGGAATTTAATAAGACAAGCAAAACAGTTATTAAGGAATTCTGCAAACCATAACACACTCTATAAATGTTACATTTAAACGTTAAAATCCAGGACCCTCCCTGATGGTGCAATGGGTTAAAGCACAGCACTATGAAGGTGATCTGCAGGCACTGCAGCATGAGTTAAGATCCTAGACTGGGGGGTGACCCACATGCAGTGGCAGACCTCTCCTGTCCTGCTCACTGTTCCCCTAAGCAGTGTGTTTCAGTACATCTGCCTGTTCTGCTCCCCACTCTGTCTCTGGCCTCTACCCACTGCATCTCTGGCCTGTACCCAAGTTCTTGCATGCATAAATAAATCTTTGAAATATAAACATTAAAAGCCCAATCAAGAAAGAAGAGAAAATAAAAACCTATTTTTAAGTAAGACTGTGATCATTAAAAATATTTCCTATAAAAAATACCAGATGGTTTCTCTCATAGCAGGAATATAATGGAACAGGCGAGAAAATAATGATAATGATGAACAGCTATATACCAGAGACATTTTGTGGGGGTGGAATGGGATCAAAACAGTGGGGGGAGGGGAGAAATGCACTGGACTATGGTGATGGCACATGGGTGATTTGGTGATGGGAAACCTGCGGGGATTACAATTGAGATGAAAAAAAAAATGTACAAAATGATGTAAAAATAAACTATTATAAAATTTAAAAATATATATGTATATTTCCTATATTAGGAATGGGTGCAATGGGTTAGGATGCAGCACTACAAGCTAACTACAGCCACCTCAGTCCAAGTTTGATCCCCGGCCCCAAAGGTGATCCACATGGTGTGGCAGACCTCTCCTGACCTGCCTGCTGCTCCCCTCAGCAGTGTACTTTGTCCATCTGCCTGTTCTGCTCCCCTCTCTGTCTTTGGTGAATCCTCTTATCACCCCTATAGCTCTGACTTATACCCCAGTTCTGTATGCATAAATAAATAAATCTTTAAAAAAAAAAAGTGTTTAAAAAAACCATCTGTGAAATGACAGGGGTACTATATTAAAAAAATAATTTCCTATATTAGGGATAATTACAACTTACAAAAGATTAAATACAGCCTTCATTGAAACCTTAGTATTGAAAAACTGTAATAAAAGCAAATTTAGGGCCAACAAAACAAATTACCTTGAGATGTAACACTTGTTGAAAGTATAAATAAGTCTGAGAAAGAACAGCTTAATTTATGGTTACTAGTTCCAGAGTGTATTTGAAGAAACCTAGGGAATGCAGGTTGGACAAAAAAGGGAGGCCCAAAGAGAGGATACTTTTCAGACTTCGGTAAAAGAGAAAATGTGAATCTTAACCAGTAGGATAATTCTTTAAAATTGCTTAAAGAGGGGCCCTTCCTGGTGGCACAGCAAGTTAAAGCACCACACTAAGAAGCTAAAAGCCACTTCTGCATGAGTTCGATTCCCGGCTGCCCCAGAGGTGACCACATGGCATGACAGACCTCTCCTGACCCGCCCACTGTTCCCCTCAGCAGTGTACTTCATCGATCTGCCTGTTCTGCTCCCCACTCTGTCTCTGGTGAAGCCTCTCGCCACCCCTGGGCCTCTGGACTGTACCCCAGTTCTGTATGCACAAATAAATCTTCAAAAAAAAAAATTGCTTAAAGTGAGTTGAAATCTCTCCACAATTCAAAAAATCCAATTTATTATGACATTTTATAAAATTTTAAGTGCAAAATGTTATAAAAATAAGTTTTGGACATGGGCTTATTAAATCTAAAAAAAGTCCACTTTTAACACAATCAAGAACGTAAATAAACTTTCCAACAAGAAAGAAATAAATAAACCAAACCCCCAAGTTTAACTTATATCATGGGTATTAAAAATGGATGTTGCTATTTAGTGAAATAAGGTTTATCCTCCTTACCTTAATATCAAGAGAATAAGGCGTGATCTTCTGGCCAATTTTTTCTAAGAAAATACATAAAAATTTTAGGACTTCTTCTCTACAATCACGAAACTATAATAAAAAAAAGGCACAATACAGTAAATATGTGTAAGAGTAAAAGTCACTCCAACATTAAGCAATATACATGAAAATTTTCAACTTACTTCATCAATGCTAAGTGACTTCTGAACAAATACAAGCAAACCAATATCCTTGGAAAAAATTAAGGAAGTCTGTAATGCTAGATCAAAAAAAAAAAAAAAACAGTTAAGAGTCTCAGTCTCAAGTACCTTCCTAGTGGCACAGGGGTTCTTATCACCTGGCTATCATCGCCAGGGCCTGAGTTCAATGCCCCTGAGTTCTATAACCACCCCCCTCCCCCACCAGGGAGCCAATGCAGCAGACCTCTCCTATCTTGCCTGCTGTTCCCCTTAACAGTGTATTTCAGTAAGTCCACTGCTCCATTCTCTACTCTGGTGAATCCTCAATCTCCCCCCCCCCCCCATACTTCTGGCCTATATCCCAGTTCCTTTACGCATAAATAAATCTTTTTAAAATTTTTTAAAGAGAGTCCCCAAAGAAGCACTCCATCATAAACTGATACTAAAGGGTTTGTATGTTTATCAACTCAGCCTTGTAAGTGGTAAAACATGAAAATAAGGCTGCTATTAAAACAAAACTAAATGGCCAAATACTTCAGGACTTCAGAAGACACTTGCTAGAATCCATAAAATGGTCAAGAAACCCCCAGAGGCACAAAGGCAGTCACTCACCCTAACCTTGCTCTCCTAAGCCCAAGGAGAGCAAGAACAGAAGTGACTGAGAAACCCCTGCCAGAACAGATAAATTAACGTCCCAGGAGCACCTGTTCAGTTAACCCCAGAAAGGGATGGAGTGAGAAGCTCCTGCACCCCATTTAAGGCAGGAGTCACAGGCTTTCCTTGCAGTTGTTCTCTAGATTCTGCAAGCCTAGACCTCTTCCCAGGTATACATTTATTTTGTCTCTGATAAACTCTGCTTTGCATCAACACAGCCTTAAATTCTTTCATGGCCAGTCAAAGATTGAGGAGCTCCAAAACCCAGAACATCAAAGCAGGAAATTCTATGATACTCCACAAACAGCAGTACACAGGAGGTCCCACAAATACCAGCAACCTAAATACTATCAAAACTGAGACTATGCTACTTTATGCAAATAACATTAAGGAAATTTATCTACTGACTTTAAAATGGGAGATTATTCTGAATTCTCAGATAGGACCAATGTAATCACAAGACCCTTAAAAATGGAAGAGGGAGGGGTCTCCAATTTGGCCCAGGGGTTTAAGTCTCAGCACTGCCCTTATGACAGCACTCTGCAGCCACCAGTTTGATCCCAGCCAGGAAGCTGGGCACAGCAGACCTCTCCTGTTTTGCCCACTGTCTCTAGTGAATCCTATTACACCCCCCCCCACACACACACCTCTGATGTAAACGACAGCTCTTGTATGCATTAATAAATAAAAATAAATCTTAAAAGGAATTTAGTAAGACAAGCAAAACAGTTAGCCATGTATTTCAGTAGATCTACTTCTTCTGCTTTCACTCTGTCCCTGGTGAATCCTCCCTCTACAACCTGAGCATGAGAGTTTTCAAGCGTGAGTTTTCAAGTACCACAGTACTTGACCATACTGTGGTAGAAGTGATTTCTAACAACCTGAATGACAAAGGAAATCAATTCTTGAATCTTCAGAAAGGAGTGGCTTGTGTGGATACTTTGGTTTTATTATAGCTTTCTGGGATCCATGTTGGGGCTTCTGACACAGAATGGTAAGATTAACCTGGTTGTTGTTTTTTTAATTCCCATTTGCTAAAAGTAACAGAAAACCAACACACAAATGAAAAGACACAGATTATATATTGAGGATAAACTTGGAACTGCCTCGCAATCAAAAAACAAAAGGAATTCAAACCTAGAAACTGTCACTATGAAACAATTACATAATGCTGTTAGTTTATTTACCCATTAACACATCCTAGACAATTTATAGATACTAAATAGCACCTTGTTTAAGTTATTGTTTACATTATTTCTCCTTCCTATTCAGCACTGACTTCTGAGGAAGAAAATTTCCCCTATCTTTCAATTAGGAGAACGGATACAACATGGGAGTCTGTGTATTTGATTTTAAAAAGAAATACAGTAAAAGTTTTCACGCACTTTTAGCACAAAGGGATAAAAAACTCTGAACCAGGCACTGCTAAAAACTGAAAAGAATTTTCATGAATTTTTTTAAGTTTTATTTCTGCAATGATGTTCAAAGTAGGAATACCACATATATAAGTGTTAAAAAGGTACTAATGGGTGTAGCTGACATTAAGGTAAAAGAAACACTTTCCTGTTTTCTCTCCCTGCTTTAGATAGCAATGGTTGCCAACCTTCGGGCACCAAGTTTGACTGTAATACACCTTTCCTTCACTGTTTAACAAAAAGCAGTGTGACAAATCACTTTTCACACACGTCCACAGAAATACCGCCGTTCTCAGAATCAAAAGGTTGGGTTTCAAAAAACCATTCGCGTAACTCAGCCGGAGACTGCCCGCCCGGTTCCCCGCGGCTAGGAAATTGGCGGCGTGCGCGCGCGCCGGAGCACCATCCGCGGCGTGGCCCCGCCAGAAAGGTACCCACCCAGCGCCGCGTGGCCGGCGCACAGCACACACTCCTGCCCCAGGCCACGGATCAACTGACAGCTGGCCGTCGCGGCGCTGCAGCGGTCTGCTGCAGATAAGGAAGTTTGTAGCTGCAGCAAGGAACCCCGAACACCAGAGTCGGAGGAGGCCATGACGCCTAGGTCCAGCGGAGCGCTTGCGCACAAGCTGGCCCGCCCGCAAATTTCCGCAGGGCGCGGAGGCGGGGCTTGCAGGAGCGTGGGAGCGGAGCTCCTAGGGGTGGGGCTCGCAACGCGGAAGGCGGGGCTCCTTAGGGGCGGGACTCACAGGAGCGGGGGCGGGGCTCGAGGGGGCGGGAACTTTATTTCAGCCCCAAGCGGGAGGGCCCTTCCAGTAGGGTAACAGCCCATTTGGACGTAAGTGATCATAGTTTAACAGCAATATTATGAACGTGTTGAATACAATTCATTTATCATGCCTGTCTCGAAAGCTAAGGAGAAATAAGTCAATGCTTCGACCTCTAAAAAGATGGGAAGGACGGGCCCTCCCTGGTGGCGCAGCGGGTTAAAGCACAGTACTGAGAATCTGAAGCCGCTTCCGCATGAGTTCGATTCCCGCCTGCCGCCTGCCCCGGAGGAGACCACATGGCGAGCCAGACCTCTCCTGACCCGTCCGCTGCTTCCCTCAGCAGTGTACTTCGTCGATCTGCCTGTTCTGCTCCCCACTCTGTCTCTGGTGAAGCCTCTCACCGCCCCTGAGCCTCTGGCCTGTACCCCAGTTCTGCATGCACAAATAAATAAATAAATCTAAAAAAAAAAAAAGATGGGAAGGAGAATGTGGGGACAGAAGTGGACGAAATACTAGATTTGGTGAATGATCCACACGTGTTTCTCTAGCTAGAGTGAAATGTACTTGGAGTATTTTTGAAATGAAGCTGTCTAAGGTATAAAGCTTTACTTCCTCCTTGGCTAACACTACAGTGAAAATCAACCGCTAGCTGAACTTGGTCAGACCGGACGCCCCAGGTTTCCCGCAAAAAATCGCGATGACGGCTGCACCAACCTACACAGAAGGGTGACCAAGGGCGTCTTGGCCTCCCGAAGAAGCTTGCATGCGGCTCAGTACCCCCTGTGGATGCGGACTGGCATCTCCCAGAGGCGGAGCAAGCAGGGAAACTGCCGCGATTGGTAGGACGCCGCTGACGTTGGTGCCGCCGGCGCGAAAACTCCGCAGACTCCGGCATCTAGTTGCACTAGCTGGAAGCTGCCTGGTGTCTCGCGGGTGTTTAAGCAGTTGCCTCATCCAGGTAGTGGAAGCTGGGGAAGAGGGATGGGATGGTGCGGGCGGGAACGGGAGTGGGACTCGCGCGACGCGAGCATATTTTCCTGGTCGCAGGTACTCGAAAGACCATGGCATCGCCGGCGTCCACCCCGAGCCGCCGTAGCAGCCGGCGCGGACGGGCCTCTTCGGCGCAGTCGCGTGAGTGCCCGCCCATCACCCTCTGGGTTCCGCCCGGCTTTGGCTTTTTCCCGCCACTGTGGTGAGCGCTTGGCCTGCCCCTGGGCCTCTTCTTTCTTGCTCACGTGTAGACACCCTCAGGGTGAAGTAAGAAATGTGCGCACTGCGATCCTTCGTGTATGCTCTGCAGGTGCTACTGTTCAGACACTTGACTTTGGGGCGTACAGCACCCATTGACTGTACTGACCACCTCCATTGGCCTGATTTCTTTTATTTTTTTTAAGATTTAGTTATTTATGCATACAGAACTGGGGTAGAGGCCAGAGGTGAGAGGATTCACCAGAGACAGAGTGGGGAGTAGAACAGGCAGATGTACTGAAATACACTGCTGAGAAGAGCAGCTGGCGAGAGAAGGGAGGACTGTCATATCATGTGGGTCACCTCCCTGGCAGTGGATCAAACTCAAGCTGCAGTTGCTGTAGATAGATTCCTAGTGCTGTGCTTTAACCCATTGTGCCACCAGGGAGGGCCCTGGCCTGTTTTCTTTGGTTTCCATTTGTTCAGTAAAGAATTCATCCCTACAGACAAAACAAGGTAAACCAAATATGACAGTTGACTGCCATCTTTTCTGTTTTGTATATCACAAGTTCGAAGTGATGATGCCAGGTCATCTCCATCTCAGAGGAGAAGAGGCGAGGATTCAACTTCAACAGGAGAGTTGCAGCCAATGCCTACCTCACCTGGAGTTGACCTACAGAGTCCTGCAGCACAAGATACATTATTCTCCAGCCCTCCTCAAATGCATTCTTCAAGTGCGTTTCTGTAGATCTAAGTTATCCTGTAAATGATGCTTAAGCTGGTCAGACTTGCTGGTTTGTTCACAGTAGTTGAAGTAACTGCATTAGATATGTTCACCACAAGACGCTAGTACATGTTTAGGGCTTAGAGAGCAGAGAAAAAAACTTTTGGTGGTTTCTGTTATGGAATATTTGATAGTCCTTACCATCTTAACCACCACAAGTGCATTTTATTAGTGTGTTTAGATGACTTAGATCTACCAGTAACATACTGTGGTTTGGGGGGTTGATGTGCTACCAGAATTTCATTGTAAATTTTCAAAATTTGTTTACAGCCATTCCTCTTGACTTTGATGTTAGTTCACCATTGACTTATGGTACACCGAGCTCTAGAGTAGAGGGAACTCCAAGGAGTGGTGTTAGGGGCACACCAGTGAGACAGAGGCCTGACCTGGGCTCTGCACGAAAGGGCCTGCAAGTGGACTTGCAGTCCGATGGGGTGAGTACCCTATACAGTCTTTAATAGCATCATTTTGGGGTTGTAAAATGGAATATTCCTTGCTAACTTGGTTTTGTTGCTTTTTGCTGTGTAGCCAGCAACAGAAGAAATAGTGGCAAGTGACCAGTCTCTAGGCCAAAAACTTGTGATTTGGGGGACAGATGTAAACGTGGCAACATGCAAAGAAAGTTTTCAGGTGAGCCACATATGTTGGAATTCAATGCTGGAAGTGTTTATTTATTTTTAGTATTTATGCATAGAAGAATTGGGGTGTAGGCCAGAGGTACAGTGGAAAAGAGTACTCACCAGAGTCAGGGAGCTAAATAGGCAGATGTACTGAAATACACTGCTAAGGGGAGCGGCGGGCAAGACGAGAAGTCTGCTGCACCATATGTGGGTTACCTCCCTGGACTGGACCCCAGTGATAGTGCCATAGCACTGTGACATGGCCCCTAGGCCACCAACAAAGTTCTAGTTTCTTTTTCTAAATACACTGAACTTAGTATTTTTTTCTCTACATCAAGAGATTTCTTCAGCATTTTATTGACCCTCTGGCTAAAGAAGAAGAAAATTTTGCCATAGACATTACAGAACCTGTGTACATGCAACGACTTGCAGAGGTAAAATCATATGTTCTTAAAATTTCAAGTGATGTTTTTTGTTTCATTAGCAGAATATAACATCTCTTTAAATCTTACAGATTAACGTTATTGGGGAGCCATTTTTAAATGTAAATTGTGACCACATAAAATCATTTGACAAAAACCTATACAGACAGCTCATCTGCTACCCACAGGTAAGAATTTTGCTTTGACCATGATGAATCACAGTAAACATCTGGAAAATAACAATTTCCTTATCTATAAAGAGACTATCCAAAGTGTAAAGCTTCTTAAGAAAACCACTTTTCAACTCCATTAAGATGAACACTAACATTTCTGAAAGTAGAATGTATGTTGTCAATGGTGTGTTATAATTTAATTGGTATTGGTATAGCATGTAAGATAATAGTGAATGTTATCATTGATAGCTTCTTAGATTTGATGAAGTAAATTACCTTAGGAAATATTTTAGAAATGTACTTCACACTTCTAACTCAATAGACTAGTTTAACTACATTACCTTTTTTCTTAGGACTCAGGTCGTCTTCAGGACATATCAGCTGTATTCTAACTATAGGTCTCAGAGGCATGCAGGATTGTTTTTAAATCTTGATTTTGTGGCCTAATAACTATATAACTTTGCTCATGTTCTTTGCCTGTCCAGAAGTTGTCTTCTTATCTGCAAATTGAGGAGCAAATGCTAAATAACGAAAAAAAAAATATGTAATCATGATTTAGTCTTTTGATCGTATTAAAATATGTACAAAAGTAAAACATGAAAAAAATGTTACTAATTAAAAGAAAAATAGATGCCAGTTTATCACAAAGCACTTTTACATCTTATATATATTCACTTTTAACCCAGATAAAAATATGCATCTCATCTAGTGAGATAAGGAGTGCCTAGGTTTTAAAGGCACATGTATAGTTATTTAGGATAATGCTTTTGAATTATGCCATCTGGTTTTCTTTGTTTTGTTAATGTAAAATGCTTTATTTCCTGTATTTAACTCTGAGATACAAGCACAGCTTGGCATCCTTACATTCATTTAACAGGAGGTTATCCCAACTTTCGACATGGCTGTGAATGAGATCTTCTTTGACCGTTACCCTGACTCAATCTTAGAACATCAGATTCAAATAAGACCATTCAACGCCTTAAAAACTAAGAATATGAGGAGTTTGAATCCAGAAGGTAATCTTTTAGTTATGGGAAATTACTTACCATAAAAATAAGGAAAATTTTTTTTCATAGAAGAACTGTAAAAGAATCATTAGTGATATTGATGGATTATAAACTGGCCAAATAGCAGTGTCAGTGATCCTATGTGCTATGGACCCAGCTTTTCAAAAGTTTTAAGTTAACTGATTATTTATATGGAAGATGTTCTAACTATTGGCAGTTCTCTATCTTAAGATGAACTTATCAAAAATAACAGATTTTTTTTATTTATTAAGTTGGCATTTTCTCAAAATCCTTATAAAGAGTAAATACAAAATATAATTCCTAGAACCTTAAAAAAGAATCCTAGATGGAAAGTAAATTACTGGAACAACAACAACAAAAAAAAAAATGCTGGGTGTCAGGAAGAAAGCAGAGCACTAGGCCTGAGTGGGAACAGTTCATGCTAAAGAGAACTTTACATTACTGAAAATGTTTGTAAAGCAGATGAAGGAATCTAGGTAGCCTCAGGGAGTTTGAGAGGCGATGTTTGCATGGGAGCTGAAGAGTCTAGGTACTCAAGAGCTTTGAATTCCAACTTCTACTACGCAAATCAGTAGAGAGCCACCAACAGTTTTTTAGGAGAAAGATTTTGCCACTCTCCAGAAGCTCACACTGGTTAAGTGTGTAAGCTATTTTGAAGTTCATTATGATGATCTCAACCATAGCTCAGATGTGAGACAGCAGGGTCCTAGATTAGACAGTGACCCCAGGAATAACTATACAGAACAAACATATTTGCTGTGTATAAAGATTAACATACAAAACCATTGAACATTTTTTTAAGATTTATTTATTTATGCATACAAAAACTAGAGTACAGGCCAGAGGTGCTTGGGGTGAGAGGCTTCACCAGAGACAGAGTGGGGAGTAGAGCAGGCAGATCCACTGAAATATTCTGCTGAGGGGAGCAGCGGGTAAAACAGGAAAGATCTGCCACGCCATGTGGGTTACCTCCTTGACTAGGGATTGAACTCTTGACACAGTGGCTGCTAATAGTGCTGCACTTTAACCCTTGTATCAGCTAATAGTGCTGCACTTTAACCCTTGTATCACCACGCAGCGCCCAAACTACTGAACATTTATAAATGCCCCTATAGATTAACCTACAGAAGACATTTCAGTTTTAAAAAAAAAAAAAGTAAGTCGATAAACTTGATAAAATGTTTATTTATTAAAGAAGTGTAATTTTTATGTTCTTCAATTTGTTTCTGACATCTCTGTGGTTGGGTATTGTAGTAGGGAAACTGAGGGAGGCACAGAGCAATTTGAGTAAGCATATTACATTTAAGTGTTCAGAAACAAAAGCAGTGTTACATGATATTACAGGGCAATATCAGATATAACACATTTATAGAAGTCAGGGGAGGTAGATGGGCAAGGGTTTAGTGGTGGGACCTTGAAGAAGGGCCAAAGTTACATCAGCCTTCAGTGAAGGCAGACTGACCACAGAAGGCCATTCAAGACCTGAGTGTACCCATAATATCCATGGTACCTGTTTGTATAGCCACCCCTGGGTATTTCTACATGTATTTCTACAAGTTTCTGTTGGCTTTGACAACAGAACTGTGCCTGTCCTGGTAGAAGCCTAACTCAAGGAAAAGACCCATCTGATTGGTTTGTGGGCTGTCGCTAATGGATATGCCTACTCTCTTCCTTCATACAGATATCGACCAACTCATCACCATTAGTGGCATGGTGATACGGACATCCCAGTTGATTCCAGAGATGCAGGAAGCTTTCTTCCAGTGCCAAGTTTGTGCCCACACAGTCCGTGTGGAGATTGACCGTGGGCGCATTGCTGAGCCCTGTGTGTGTGAGCGCTGTCATACCACCCACAGCATGGCCCTGATCCATAACCGCTCTGTGTTTTCTGACAAGCAGATGGTATGTGGCCTTCCATTCCTTGGATGACCTCCCTTTTGGCATGTCTTGCCTTTATGCAGCCCCTATCTAGATCCTCAAGAAAAGACAAATTTAACTTGTCCGTTCATGAGGCCCTAAAACCTTGTTTTCCTAAATGACTTTCAGCTACCTCATAATGTGAAAGGGAATGCATTCTTCCACTATTAAAATGTGAAGTTTTAATGTCATTTATAAGTGAGTAGATCAGATTAAACCATTCCACTGTAATAAGTCAAACTTAACATGAGGTACATCTGTGAAAAATATTTATGACTATAAAATTACTTATGTTAATCCCATTCCCCACTCCACCCCCACAAAATGTCTCTGTTATATGGTTGTTCATTATTTTTGTTATTTTCTTGCCTGG